AGACAGGTTTAATATGTGTTTTAGATGAGAAATTTTCTTAGAGTCCCAAAGCTTAGGAGAATAAGAGCATAAATTTTGGCTTGAGGGATATCAACTTCACATTGATCTAAACTGTTGTTTTCAGGTTTACAATATATTAACAGAAGAAATATGTGGAATAGAAAATACAGTGGAGCCTTCCACATCCCAGTTTCTGGGAGACTGAAAGGTAACATCAGGATAGGTATTAAATGTGTGCTCCATCTGGAAGGAAGATAGAAAGGAATCTTAGTAGAATAAAAATTGTATTCCTGACCTAACACGAACTTTTGTGGTTTGTAAAACAGTTAGATGAAAAGTTGTGCTTCCAAAATACATAAAGATTTGTTCATGAAGATATGTCATTGTTTCATCACCACTAGTATTTATTCCCAATTTAGGCAGCTGAAAAGTGAAATAAGTCCATTTTTTAGCTACTTGAAAATTTTTTGTAGGAGTTATAAGGGGAGGAGGTTTCTAAGGTAACCTACAGATAAATAAGTTTATTTCCAAAATAAGGGAAATTGAATTTCGAGAACATGCTGTAACTTCTAGTAAGATAAAGTTGAAAAACAGGGCCTTGAGACTTAGCTGTAGTACATCTGCATTTGTTACCTGTAGTGTTTTCCTGGAATGCGTTGTATAGGAATACATTCAACCCAGAAATTTTACCTTGGAATAGATGAGTGAAAATATTTTTAAAATGTAGTAAAAGTACAGTTTTGTTTACATCAGTGATATCAGCTCAGGGTTTTCTACATTTATGCAGATCTTAGCTTATTTCATTCTGAAAAGGAAAAAGTAATTATAACTTGCTTATGGCTCTTCATGATTTTTAGATGATATGTGAATATTTATGTATAGCAAAAATTATCTGCTAGTGAGAAAGAAGCTCGGGAATGCGAGGCTGAGGTTTTGGATTGTCTCAGGAAGAGTGGAAAATTTCCAGATAGTTTTATATTAGTAAATATTGGAAATGTTGTGTGTCACATCTTCATTTTGATCAGATCGAAGTATCACATCAAGGTATTCCATGGTGTAGTGATCACTATAAATTCTTAGGTAAATGGTGTGAATTAGTGCATCCAATGTGACAAGTGCCTTTAATTCATGAGACCTGTGACCTGTGAGACCTGAGGCCTTATCATTTACTTCTTTAATGCTCTAATTAAAATACTGCATAAAGAAATACTAGTTGTTTTATTTTAGATGTATATTAATAGGTGCAACTATTTGTATGCCTCTGTCTCTAAGGAAAAGTTTGGGTGAAACAGGTCTGTTTTGTTTATGTTCGTAGGCATGTCATGAATGTAGGTGTTTTTCTGCTTTCAGGCATAGTACATTATTCCTGGTTCTCTTCAGTATACTAAATATTTTTAGTAGATTTTGGTGACTTTGTTCCAGTAGAGGTCAGCTGCATCTGCTTGCAAATATAGAGCATCACATTACCAGAATGATTTACTGTGTCCCTGATTTCTCCTGTCCCAGTTGAGGTTTCCTAAAGGACCTGACGCATGACTTCTAAGAACTTCTGAAAAGCTGCTTTCCAGAAGTCATGCCTTTAAGAAAATCTTAGTTTGGCCATCTCAGAATGTAAGCTACTAAGGTCACACCTTACTCTTAAAAACCTTATTTGTGTTGTCCTGACCTTAAGGTAATGTTTTGAAAAGTTTTAGTCCATCTTCCTTTATCACTTGGAGCAAATCTGAATTCTCTGTCCTTTGAATTACCCTGGCTCTTCCCTCTGACAGGAATTGCCAGCTGTGGGTACCACACTGAGGATACTGTGGCCCCAGAGCAGGTGCTGCAGGGCAGGCAGAGCCCAAAGCCCACACCTTTGCGAGCTCACCAGTGCCTGCTTGCCAACAAGGTGGCCACGTTGTGGCCTTGGCAGGAGGAAGACGTGACAAGCATTGGGGTCTATAGGGATTGAGGAGAGGGGACTGGTTGTTGGAAGGTCTGTCAGGCATAAGGGGGCTTGGTTGCAGAAATTGAAGCTGACATGGTAACTGTTGTCTGGATATTGTCCTGCGATGGAGAGGAGGTTTTAGGGTCCAAACATGTTAGGCACACGTGAGCAGAATCCTCCTCTGTGCTTGGCAATGGGGGCCTTCAGCAGGTGAGCAGAAAAAATACTGATGAACTTACGGCAGATGAGAAGGGGGTTAAAAACAACTGTGAAAAGTTGGGTCGTGGTACTTGGTGTCTTGAAATGAAGCAGGATTTTTTTCTGGAAGGCTTTAGTCACCTGGGAAGGAAGGATCGAGTAGCTGTGTGGGAGGCAATTTGCAGGCAAGTGTACTCCTCTGCAGTAGATCGGTACATTTTAATGAGGTAAGTATATTTGCTCCGTTTTATAGGATTTGCTTTGGACTTGAAGTCTGGAAGTCATTTTAAATAGACTGCTTTGAGATGTAGTGGTCAGGTGGAAATATTTGAAGCATATAATATGGAAACCCTGTATTTACAACGTATTTGTAGGGTCTTAGAAGCTGAGCTGAAAGGATTGCCTCTTTTGCAGAAGATATTTTTAAGAGTACATAAAGCTCATTCAGAGGATGTAAAAACAAAAGTGATGTTAGAAACTACTGTAGCTATGCAACTTTATTTGTTTGCTTATTTACTTACTTACTTTCATTTGCAGCTGGCTCTCAGTCCATCCCACCCTGCAGGAAAGGTTGCCTTCACACTGACATCCTTCTCCTCTTCTCCTCCCCTTCCTGTAGGCTGTGTGGGGCTGAATGGGGCCATTTTTCAGATGTAGGTTCCCCTTAGAGATGGCTTTCCAAGTGGATGGGAATTCTCACCCACTGAAAGGAAGGAGGGGAGGGCAGCGCTCAGGTCCCGCACCTGCAGCAGCGAGTGCCTGTGGGAGGGAGGGCTGAGGTTGTGCATTACTGTGCATGCACCCATCGGAGGGAATGGGGGAGTTGAGTCCTTTTGCCTCAGGACCATGACTCCTATCCAGAGTTCACTCTTTCCATTGAGAAGGCAATGCCTTTCTTTGACCAAAGATGCCAGCAAGATGCATTCAACTGATGCCCTAAATATCAATCAAGCATAAGCTTCAAGTCTGAGAAATGTTCCATGCTTTCTGGTATTTATCATTTTGACTTTTCCAGTTCTTTCTTTTTCTTGTAGTCGTGCTCTCTGTTATGTGTGTCTGCTTTTTCCTCCTTCTTACTTAGTTTGATATCTTGTCCTTTCTTGAGCTTGTTTTTGCTTTCCTTCTGCTGAGAGTTTATAATAGCTGTAGCATAACTTGAAAAGGTGGATCTACAGTGTTTAAAACAATCATTACATAAATCATAAAAATAACAAAGATGAAATAAACGTCCTCACCAAGTGAAGAAATAAATTCCAAGGGCAGTATAAGCATCTGCCGATCTCTAGTGTGACTTCCTCTCTTCTTCCAAGACTTTCTGCAAAGTTTTTTCCCGCCTGCTTTAATATCTTTAACATTTTGAAAACTTCTTAAAGAATGGATTTTTCTCTCTCTCTACATTTCGTACAGTAAAGCTGAAAAAAAAAGAAAAGGCATTTCTAGGGTTATTCAGGACCTCCGTAGCTATGTTCAAAGCCTTACTAAATATTCTGTACTAGTTTGTTCTGAAAATCTTGTGTTTTGTCTCTTCCTGAAAATGTCACCAGCAGGTCACAGGCAGTTGCTGATGAGCAAAATGTCACCTTTTGGGACACCTCACAGGGTGGCATGCAAGGTTGGGAAACCCATACAGAGTAAAAGTGAACTCACGGTACTTCCCAAGATCTTTCACTATGAGCTTTGTCTTTTGAGAGAAATTTTTAATCCTGAAAAGATGTGGGGAGAGACTGGCAAGCAGTTTCAGAAAGTTTCAGAATTCAGATGTTATGCAAAACTTTGACAGGATCATGAAATGAATAGTGGTATTACGGCCATTTTACACAGAGCCAAATTGAACTGTGGAAAAGCAATTTGTTAGGTTTCACAAATTTGTGACTAACCAAAGGGCTCTGGTGATTTATTGAAAGTGTTGAGGTGTTAAGAAAACAACTTCTGTGTTTGAGTTGACGTATTACTTTAACAATTTGGTTTGAGGGAGGAAAGAGTCATATTATAAAGGAAATATTAATTTATCTAACCATCCTTCATTTCGTTTTAGAACGATGTAACTGGAAAGACTCAGTTACGGTTTCACTTACCAGTAATGATATAACATAAAATGGACTCCCACCTTTAAAGCAAGCTGGGTCATTGAATCTCTGGGGCTGGGGCTGGAGGAACGAAGGAGCTGGGCAGGTGGGGTTGGACCTACCTCTCTGCCTGTGTGCATTTTATTCAACAGAGCTATGGCTTCACCGTCACTGAGGATGGCTTTGATTCCTCTTTCAAATAATTCTGAAATAAGCTTGCTGGCAGATATTTCTGGATTGGGTTGCCTGGGATAGCTGCTAGGAAAAGCACATTGTGCCAGGCAGCTGTTTGGAGAAAGTGGTGTTGAGCAAAGACTCTGAAAGTCTTGCAATCAAATTATTATATTGCATGAGAAAATACCAAGTAGTGGAAAGTTGTGTTTTTCAGGAAAAATTGCACAATCTTTTTAAAGTTACAACTGACTCTTTCTCTAGGAAGGTAATGTTTATAAGATGAGCAGGTTTTTGCCTCACTTTTATGCCTTTTGCATGACAGAAACATAAATTCTGTTAAAAATTAAGTGAACGTGCTTCTAGGTAGCTTTTGTACTTACAGTAAATTTTATATATGAACTGACGTGAATTTTGAAGGCAGTCTTCATTATATATCATGTACTGGAAACTCAGCAGCCATTGTTTGGTATATTTTATTGCAATTTTGCTAATAAATGCTGATGCCTTTTCTTCTGTAAGGATGTAATCTATCATTCTGCAAAAATATAAAGCATGAAGGTTGGGGGAACACATGTAGATTGGGGATCGAAAAAGTGGAGAGTTGTTCTCTTATTTGTTGCATTTCTAATTTTCAGGAATTCTTTGAACATGCAAAAAAGCTCTGGGATGATGAAGGTGTAAAGGCATGCTTCGAGAGGTCAAATGAATATCAGCTGATTGACTGTGCACAGTAGTAAGTATTTCCTTTTATAAAATTTATAAGCAAGAATGTGATCACCTGTAACAAGTTAGAAAATACATTTGTATCAGCGAGATTCTGGAGTTTTGCAATGCAGCAGTCAACGTTTTCATTCTCTGTATAAGCAGAGCATGTGTAGCAAAAGTAATTGTTTCACCATAGTTTGCCATTATTATACAACTAAATATGCTGCCTCAAATATTTCACAGCTACTATAGATGAGTATGAAAAATCAAAATACTTTAAGTATCTTTATTCCACTCAAAATAAATTTATATAAAATAATTTCAGTTGAAACTGTTAAGTTTAGAAAATGTAGAGCCAATCTAAGGAAAACACGTTTAAAATTCTTAGACCCAGACAGTGCTGAAATTGCTCTGTCTTTTCACATTCCATTAGAACCTCTGATATTTTTATGTAGCCAGATGCATACGTGCACTACTAATATATTTTCTAGGAGGAAAAAAATATAAGCAGTATTTCATTAAAGATGGTAGTGCATTTGGTATTCTGTCCTTCACATACATCAGGTGAAGCGGTGCATGTGTGTGTAACACAGTCAAAATCTGTAAACAGCTTCAATCTGGTCAGAAATGTTCTGACAAGAGATATGTAGTAGATTGTGAAGGTGCAAATCATAAATACATAGTACATTGATGAAAACGTATTAATCAAAAAGAGTATATTAACATCACAGGGCTACAAACTCAGCTGTCCTCAGTAGCAACATAAGTCTGAATTAGACTTTGACTAAAAATATACATTTCATGTGAACTGCTATTGCAAAAATACATACTTTTACAGTTGCTATGTGATTTTGGCTTTTCAGAGAACACACTCGAGTGTGTTATGATTTGTCTAATTGGCAGTATGGTCAGCAGCAATGCCACAGGTCTGTTCTAGCACTCAGTGTTTTGCTTTTCTGTTCTCTCTGCTCTTGGTGCTGAGCCTGAAGCAGAGGAAATGGTCCATGTCACTAAAGGACTTGTAGCGCTTCTGTCACAGTGGAGAATGTCGGTGTTGCGGGTCATAGTTTATTTTCCCTCTTTCCAGACCATTTTTGGGAAAAAATGATTCATCAGCACATGGAAGTGAGGGAAAATTAAGTATGTGCATGAAGGAACTCATTTGACCTCAGTGGACTGAATTTACCAAAACTTGGGCATTTGCTCACAGACTGAAGTGGCTAGAAGTTGAAACTCTGGTTGTACACAGATAAAATTAGACAGTTGTCCTAAAATGTGATCAGTGTGTTTCCCCTCTGCCCTCACCCACCACCACCACCATCATACAGATCTGAGCTGTGCTTGCTGAAAAGTGCAGACTGACTGTTTTATGATATCTATTAATACACTAAAATAAGACATCAGACCAAGGAAATAAAGTAATGACACATATTTAAAATAAATTAACGTAAAACTTACTTCACTGATCAGTAACAGTCAATGTGTCTCCCAATCCTGCTTTGTAAAATGGTGCTGAAAGGATCAGAAAAAACAAGGAAGACACTGAATTACAGCAATAATGGTAGTGTGATTTTCCTTAAAAAAAAAATTATGCCTCTTTACAGTCTTTGACAAGGAGAATGTTAAATCTCATGTTATGTCCAAAACCAAAACAGAAATGGGGATAAAAAAATATATCTAGGATTAAGTCCACTGTCCTGAAACATAAAACTGAATCCTACTACCTTTTTTCCTAGAAGGCTAGGGGAAGTTTATTAGGGCTTTTTTCTATGTCTCTTACCTCCGCGTCTTCCACTGTCTTGATTTTGGTTTATTCTGAGATTATTTTTTATAATAGTAAATACAATCTTTGCATAATTCTTCATGTTCAAGTCCCTTTATGAAGTAGCATTTGATACTTAAATATTCCTTGAGTGAATCTGTGCTTTTCATTTCATGATTTACCTGAAAATGTAACAGCTAAGTGACTTACCAATGTTTGCACGCTTTCAATCTTAGAGCAGACACTTGAAACTCAGGAACAAGCTGTGTCATTGATCTGATTAAACAGCCTTTTCCTCACAGGTATTGATGATTTAAAACAGTCAAGTGTCCTCTTAACAGAAAGATAGTTGCTAAAAATACACCCTACTTTTATCTGCCCCTCCATCATTCCTTGAAAATAAATATGACACTAATAGAGTCAATGAAAAGGAGTTTTAAAAGTTGCTGTGTCTTTGCTGCATATATGTTTTATATACTGCACAACAACAGTAGTTGCTTTACCCAGAAGAACATTTCTGTGCTAGCATTGGATGAACCTTTTTCAGGTTTGTGGGGTCACATCCATCTAATAGCTGGCAGAGTTTGTGAGGCTGGATTAGAAACACAGTTCTGATACCTACTTACAAATTCTTTTGTGCACTTAGAAAATACTGAGGGTGAGGGTGCTGTCTTTGTGGCTCAGCAGGAGCTCGTGGCTTTTCTCTCACAACCTTTCTATGGTCATCTTTAACTGGTAAAGGAGGAAAGAGGAGTGTAATGCTGATACAGATGCTTACTGTGGGATTTTGAAACATTGCCATTACACTGGCCTTAGGAGAAAGCATCCCACGCCATCAGCTAAATCCTAATCTTTTACTTGGTAGTGAAGGAAGAACACTGTCAGTAGGTCGCCACTTATTTCTCTGCTTAAAAAAAAAACAAAGCAAACCCCAAAAAATCCCAACATGTGTTAAAAAATCATTGGACTACAAGTTGGGTGGCTGACTAAAATATTAAAAAGCATTATTAGCAAATTATAATGTCAGCAGCCAAACTTGCTGACTGTTAAATGAGTTACAAATACAGTGTATTTTGGAATAGTTTAATTTGGCTACGGTACAGAGCTTCTGTATTTTTAAAACTTAAACTAATTTTCTTTATTACTGTGGGAGAAATATTTTGCTGGAATCAGAGGTAGTAGAAAGACACAGAGGCAAATGTTTTATTTACATTATGCCTGAAAGTTGATTTTCCTTGACCTTCAGTGCCCTTTTAAATTACTAGGGCACTGTTCCTTCACAGGAATGAGAATGAGGGCCTGCTTGTCAGATCATTTTAATATTCTTAAATGAGTCTCCGTGTATCTGCACTTCTTTCATTGTTAAGGAATACGTTTAGTGCACACATCATGTTGGTGCGTCATGTGATAATTGTAATAAATACGAATCTGTGACCAAGCCAGGGGCCAGCAAAGATCAGAATTGTTCTTTATCACTAGCTACAAAGACATTTATGTAACTCTTGGAGGGGGAAGTATTGCATGGCTATCAAACATCTTATTGCCTTAATGACCTTCATATATTTCTTCAAGATTAATATCAAAAAGCTGACAGGTTATTGTTTTCTCTGTCTTCTGGTTTAATATTTCTTTCAAGTTACATTTCAAGTTTAATCTCAAAAAGTGATACTTAATTTGAAAAGTTGATTTGATTTAGTAGTGTCCCCATTTGACTTACCCAGATTTCATCAGGGTTTATGATGATAAATCTTACATCTAACTTTAACTTACTTTGAATTCTGTTTTAACTGTGATTTTTGTCTATATTCATATACTTTAAATTCAGCAAATTGTAGGTCTGTAGGGAGTCTTCATATTGTGATTTAGTGCTGTCTTGGCATGGAACTGAGTAGTACATAAGCAATAGACAAAAGTATATTAATTAAAAAATTTCTTGTGATTCTAGGACAGTGTCTTAAAAGGTAAAGAGTTTCCCATAAGATAAATACAACTCCATTTTTAATATTTCAGTTTCTTCGTACTAGTTACTGAATGCACAAATTCTATTGTATCCATGGAAGGGAACTGCAAAGCAAACTTCTTTAAATTTAGAACAGATCCGCAATATAAGGAAGATATTAAGCTATTAGAGAGTGTCCAAAGGAGGGCAATGAAGATGGTGAAGAGCCTTGAGGGGAAACCGTCTGAGGAGCGGCTGAGGTCAACTTGGTCTGTTCAACCTGGAGAAGAGGACACTGAGGGGAGACCTCATTGCAGTCTACAACTTCCTTGTCAGGAGAAGAAGAGGGGCGGGCACTGATCTCTTCTCTGTGGTGACCAGTGACAGGACCTGAGGGAATGGCCTGAAGTTGTGTCAGGGGAGGTTTAGGTTGGATATGAGAAAAAGGTTCTTCACCCAGAGGGTGGCTGGACACTTGAACAGGCTCCCCAGGGCAGTGGTCACAGCACCAAGCCTGACAGAGTTCAAGAAGCATTTGAACAATATTTTCAAACTGTGTGACTGTTGGGGATGGTTCCCTTCCAACTCAGCATATTCTGTGATTCTGTGAAATAAAAGTTCAGGTATGATGGCCTTCAATTAAAAAATGACCCACAAAAAAAGTTGGTGAGTAGATTATGTGTCTTTACAAACTTCATAAATTTAAGTAAATTAATTTATGTGGCAATGAAGAGATCTAAAATTTCTTTTTAACTAATAGAATACCAAGAGGTAGAGCTATACGTAGAAACCACCTGTTTGATGTTACACGTGTGAGTTGATTGACTTCACTCTAATGCTGGTGAAGTGGTTTCTGTAGGATAAGCCACCTCTCTTCACGGCAAACTGTACCATGTGCTAATTGGTGGCTGCTCTAGCAATCCCAGATAAGCCACTGAAGTTGCTTTTCCTTGGAAATCAAACACATGTGCCCAGAGACAGCAGTGCAGTTTAAAACCTTGATAGAACCCCCCCCATCCTTGGGGGATATCAGGCACCCCCAGTCTGGTGGTGTCTGTACCTTGTTTCAGTAAAGTAAGCATTGAGTTAACTTAGTTTTGGTTACGCCACTCTAAGTTATTCAGTTGACTTGGTAAAATTAGTTGCAGTGATCAGAAAAAAGGTGTGGGGATACTTACAGTGCCTAGACATTGTCAGGGAAAGGTGATAGTATTAGAGCAGAAGAGTAGACAAGCAGAACTAGGCACTTTGGAAAGGGGAGAAAAAAGACAAAAGCAGAACATCTGATTCTCTTTTTAGGTCACACACAGTTTGCAAAAGACATTGT